TCCCTGCGCGAACATCTCGACTTTGTCTTGTCGCCGTTTAAATGCAGTTGAGATGGTTTAGAGTGGGGTAGGTAGTGGCGCGCCTATTATCGCTATACCTGAGCACAGTCACCGTCCCTGCTCTCGAGCAAATGGTGGACATCATCGCTAGCGATGGTCGAACTAACACACACACACCATGAAGATAGTGCTTAATATAACAGCTTTACCTGCTCGATTACCTTCAGAGAACTGAAGAACAAACCTTAAAAAAGAAGAAAGGCCCTGGTCAATCAGGAACTGGTCCACATCAAGTGGAGTATTGTTCGCTCATCAGGGAAAAATGAAGAATGTGGATGCTTAATACATCTCCTTCTGGAGCTTACGTCCATGTGCAGAGGGACGTGATGCTGGGGTTGCTTTATACAGTAAGAAGGAAGGCGTGAGACTGCTGCCCTGCTAACATCTGGACGTCAATAATCCTCCCATGATCACAAAGTTGCAACTCCATCTGGGCATAAATGCCTCCACCGTCCCTGCCTGCCTTCCCATATGGGAAGCGCAGCAGACGCGTCTTCGTCGAGTTTGCATCCGCCTCACGGCAGTCAAGGTCTGCTACACCAATCTCTCAACGTTGAATCAATCTCTTCTATTCCCTACCTATGTTTTTTTTCTGACAGAGCAGCCCCTACTGGACATTTTTTCCGACTCCTCGTCCTCGCCTTCGGGATTGAAGACAACCCTGGGCCTTCTTGATACTGTTCACTCTCTCAAGTCCACCTGGGCCGCCGCGACTGTTTTGTACGTTGCTGCTCCTCCAATAGTTGGTGTCATCTTTGCTGCAGTGGTCTCGCCAACTCTGCCAATTGGTCGCCCGCCTTCATTTGCTCCAGTTGTCCCGTGCCTCTACCTGTCCATACGTCTCCTGTCCTTCCTGTCTTCTATATAAATGCTCGAATCACTGAATTCACCACGCCACCTGGCCTTAAGCTTCTATGGTTCAAGGTCAAAAGCCTACGTAACAGACTCGACCAGCTCCTCACCCCCATGCTTTCGCACAGCATAGTTGTAGCGGCTATCCACGAGAAAAAGTGAACTAAATCCACCAAGGTTCCTTCCTGTGCCGACTATACGACCATCCATCGTGACCGCGGTCACAGTAAAGGCGGAGGTTTGGCCTTATTGGTGGACAAAGCCGACCCCATGGAAGTATTGGCAATTTTCCTCGACATTGACCCGGCGCCGTTAACGCCGAGGAGAAGCCATAGCTGATGAATTAGAACACGCTGCTTTCGCAGTCCTAAAAGAAGACAGCCGAGCATGGCTCCCGCCCAACGGTGCCGCAGCTCGCCCGAAGTTTCGCTCGTCAGTCCCAGTCTGGTAGCCTCCATCATGTGGAGCACAGAAATAAGCCTAGGGAGTGATCATCTCCCAATCAACTACAGAACGGATGGACACTGTCTCAAAATTCTACGCAGGAAGGCCCCTACGCGCGTCTCCGCAAACACAGTTCATGACCTGCTGTTCGCGGACGACTGCGCTCTCAACACCACAACCGAAGCGGACATACAAAGGAGTATGTATCACTTCGCCGCAGGATGTGCAAAATTCAGTCTCACCATCATCACGGAGAAAACGGTGGTCATGCACCAACCGCTGCAAGGTGCTGACTACAATGTTCCACGCATCAACGTCAACTGCGCCGAGCTCAAGGTCGTGGACAACTTCGCCTACCTCGGCAGCACGCTATCCCGCAACACTCGAATCGACAACGAGGTTACTCGTCGGATCTCCAAAGCTAGCCAAGCCTTCGGCCGGCTCCAATCCTCTGTATGGAATCGTCACGGTTTCCAAATGTCAACGAAACTGAAGACGTACGGGGCCGTCGTGTTCACAACATACTTGTGCGGAGCGGACACTTGACCGTCTACGCCAACCGAGCTCGGATGCTTAATCACTTCCATCTCAGTTGTCTCCGCCGGATACTGAAGATACGATGGCGGGATAGGATCCCGGACACAAAATTCTTATAGAGAACGAAAGTTTTCAGCATCCAGGCCATGCTCAGACAGATCCAACTGTGCTGCAGCGGTCATGTAGTACGGATGGACTATCAACGGCTAACCGAGCGACTGTTTTACGGAGATGTTGCTTTAGGCCATAGTAGCAAAAGAGGACAAAAGAAGCGCTACAAGGACGCTCTGAAGGACTCTCTAAAGCCTCTCCAAATCGAAACGGTGACCTGGGAGGAACTCGCGCAGGATCAATCTACTTGGTGAAGAACGGTAAAAACTGGCTCAGCAATATACGAAGCCATTCGGGTTGCCGCCGCCAAGGTAAAACGGACGGCTCGCAAGGCTCAAAAACAAAGG